AGTCTGGGCGACAGAGTGAGACTCCAAAAAAAAAAAAAAAGGGGGGGGGTGGGGCTGCTCAGGGTGTCCCAGGAGCTGAGAGCCTGGCTCAGCAGGACTCGGTCTCCCAGGGACAGTGATGGGTGTGACATGTGGAGGGCCCTGGAGTGGAGGGGACTGGAGACCCGTAGCTCCAGGTCTCACTGAGCAGAGGGTCAGGTGCGAGATGCTTCCACGCTGGCCTTGTCCCACACTGGCCTGGGGCCCTGCACAGCCCACCAACACGCCTGTCCTGGAAGGGGAAGGTGGCCCCAGTCACATCAGAAGCATCTTACGCTTACCTGGTGGACCGCTGAGGAGGACACGTCTCCTGGCTCGAGGGGCTTGGCTGGCTGGTGGGGCAGCAGGACACCCTTGGCGCCCCAAGCCACCACTGGGACTCACCAGAAACCTTTTGCACATACCTGCCCCGTGTCAGGGCTGCCCGGTGCCCCTGCCTGGCCACAAGTCATGACATCCTTTGGCCGGTGGGGCTCACCCCCCAAAGGCCTGGGGCACCGGGCTGGGCAGGGCCTTCACCCGCCAGGACCACGGGTCCCCTTGAAGATGGGAGGTGCGGCCTGGGCAGGGGCTGGGCCAGTCCCCTCCCTACTCTGAGATGCAGGCGAGCTCTCTCTGCCCACCCTCAGGTGACCTGTTAGGCAAGAGGCTGGGTCCCTCCCCCCACGGCAGCCACGACTGCTCTTCGGAGAAGAAGGCTCGGAGCGGATCCCCCCAAGGTGGGAGCCAGACCCTGAGTGGGGCACAGGCCACTGGAGGGGGGATAACTGAATCCCCGGGGGTCCCTTTGGCCTCATTTGGGGGTTCCTGAGGGGAGGCCCTGCCTGCTCCCTTGGCAGGAGCCGGAGAAGCCTCTCACCACGTGCCCTCCTGACACAGAGACGCCACTGCTGCCCGAGCTGGGACCCAGCATGGCCCCTGAGGATCACTACCGCCGGCTCGTGTCCGCACTGAGTGAGGCTGGCACCTTTGAGGACCCTCAGCGTCTCTACCACCTGGGCCTTCCCAGCCATGGTGAGCACCCATCAGACACGATGCCCACCATAGGGCCCACCCACGCGTGCTGGGCTCTGCCTGTTCCGAAGGCTCCGCTGATGCCAAGGCCAGCGCTGGGTGCAGGTCGGTGGGCCCAGCTCCTGGAGGTGGGTAACGGGCAGGGCATTCCTCCCCCTGCACGGTCCTGCTCCAAGTCCCCCGAAGTTGCACTCTCCTGGCCCCCTGGCTTACACGGAACTCACACTTTATGCATACGAACACTAAGTCTTGGGTGGGCCCAGGTGAGAGTGGCTCGTGGGCCGTTAAGCAGGCCCCCTGGTCCCCAGACTGTCAGGACCCTGTGCTCTATGGGCCGGGTCCTCCCTCCTGCTGGCGGACAGTGGCCTGCCAAATGCCTGCCCAGACGAGCCAGGGGAAGGTCTTAGGAGAGGATGGTCCGGAAAAGCCTGGCTGGGCCGCTCTGGGGACTTGGCCACCAGGACCTCACGGGGTGCTCAAGCTAGAAGTGCTCCCCTGCCCTCTCCCTGGGGGTCGGCTCCAACCCCCTCCACCTGGCCTCCACACAATCTCCGGGGTCACTCCCGGGGCACAGCTGAACTCTGTCTGGTGCACTCAGCCTCACAGACCCAGCCACCCTGCCTGCCAAGCCTGGCTCTTCTGGCGGGGGGGCGGCGACGGGAAGGGGCAGGATTTCTCTCCTTGCACGAGGCACAGGCCCCCAGGGCAGCTCAGGCACCAAGAGCCTGAATAATTCACCAAATGTTAATAATTTAAGCATCTTCCTTTTTAATTGCTTTCCCGCCCGGCCGGCCGCTCCGCGGGCCGTGGGGGGCGGGGCGGCCCTGGGGAGCGCGGAGCAGGCTGTCTGTCACGCGCCCCTCCCCGCCCCCGCGGAGCAGGCTGTAAATAACCGAGGCGCTGGCGCGGGCCCGCTGGGATCGATGCGGGCGGCCGGCTGGGCTCC